ACTTTTCATTTTCGATGATATTTAAATTTTCGCAAAAAAACCACAAGAGTTCAGAAATCTGCAGTCGCTTGCTGGCCATTTTTCATACATACATACATACATACATACATATATAAATACATACATACATACATACATATATAAATACATACATACATACATACATACATACATACATACATACATACATACGAAACGAAACAAAACGAAACGAAATAATTTATTTGACCTCAATAAAGAAAATAAGGTGCAGGTTGACTGTGAGGAGTTAGTATAAAACTCATCGAGCACAGCCACCTAAGCCAAAAACTTCAGAATCTCTGAATGAAATATGTTAACCTTCAGATGTTACTAATTGATAACAAAATCATCGGGCTCAGCCATCAAACAAAAAACTTCAGAATCTCTAAATGTTATATATTAAGTTCACGGTGTTACTAGTTGTTCGTAAAAATAAAATTATCGAGTACCACAAAAAACTTCAGATTCTCTAATTGGAGTATATTATATTTACGGTGTTACTAACTGTTCATAAAAATATTATCATCGTGCACCACAAAAAACTTCAGATTCTCTAAATGGAATGTATTAGCTTTGAGATGTTACTAATTGATCCTAATAATAAGTTAGGTCTATATTTCTCTATATACAAAACGGCATATAGAATACCTGATTGAATCTATCTATATAAGCTATAGATAGAAGAGAATAGGATCACATACGTATATAAAAATATCTACGTACACGTCAGCACACACACATACATACAACTGAGCATACATGATGTCATAAATATTTTATAAAAATGTAATTTATATTCTTAAAACTAGTGATTTTAATTAATCAAACTAATAAATGCTTTCAAATGATGGTTAAAGTTCTGCATGTTCGATCTGTCATAATTAAATCCTTTATTTAATAAAAAATTCCAAATTCTGGGTCCTCTGCAAATGATGTGTTGATGTAAAATTTTCGTTTTTGATTTGTTGGAACAGATGAAATTGATGCGCCTTTGATTCTTCGTTCGTTTATAATAACCGTCAAAAATAGGAGGTAGTTTACCAGTCAATTGTTTGTCGATGAATTTTGTCGCGTGATATGTACTCATTTGATCGAAAGTCAGATTGCCTGTCGTGGCGAATAGCGGTTGTGAATGGGATTGAGCTTTGGAAAGTGTGATTGTTCGCATCGCTCTCTTCATGATTATTCTTATTGGATTTGTTGTAGATGGATAGGCGCTTGACCAGACTGTATTGCAGTATGAGATATATGGAGTACAGATGGCTTTATATAGCATGTTAAGAATTCTTTTAGGCAAGAAAAATTTTATTTTATTTAATAAACCAATTGATCTTGCTAGTTTTGTGCAAACATATCGAACATGTTGTTGAAACGATAATTTTTGATCCAATATTACTCCTAAAAATTTAACAGTTTTGCTTTCGAGAATATCCGAATTATTTATTACGATCTTATATGGCTCCTTGTAGTTTAAATATTGGACTGGGCCAAAAATAATCATTTGAGTTTTTCTGCTATTCAATGTCAACATATTACATTCAAACCATGAGACGACCTTTTTAATTTCCCTATTAGTCTTCAAGATGAGTTCATCGATGTTTTTGCCTGTACTGAATAGATTAGTATCATCTGCGAAGCAAATGTAATCAAAGAATGTTGAAACTTTCGGGAGATCGTTGATGAAGACAATGAATAGCAATGGACCCAAAATACTGCCCTGAGGTACTCCAATTTGGTTTAATTTTTCGCTCGAGCATGTACCCTGCCAGCTAACAAATTGACTTCTCTCCGATAAGTAACTTCTGAAC